GTCCCACCTTCCTTTCTGATGTGCCACCACTGTCATGCCTCTGCTGCTTATCTTTTAAAAGGCTTTCTTAATTGCCCAGAATTTTGGTGTCACTGGACTGCACAGTTCCTTGCCATACTTATAAATTAATACTTTTATGTTATTTTTGTCCAGGCCTTAGGAGCTACATCTCCTAAACATCTCGAGTTCTCTCAACTTTTACTGCTTGTGATTTTTATTGCAGAGTAGTTATTATATGAAAAACCCAAGCAAGTTAAATTTCTGATAGAGATTCGTGTACCTTCTGTGTGCAGTTTAGAAGGTTTTTAGAAGCTTTTTCATTGTCAGCTGGGCTCCTGGGTAACCTAACTAGCTCTGAGTTAGGCAGGAATTGTTTGTGATTCGTGGGCTAAGGGAGTGTTGTGTGTTCTGTTTTGGTAGCAGTGTATTGTATCAGGACTTGAGTGGCCAAATCTAGGTCAGAGACTATATAGGTTATTTGTGCATTATCATAAACACTGCAAATTTAGGTCAACAGAAGCTTACTCTGAAATGCTACCTTTCTTGCATATGTAGTGATTATGTTGGTTTTGGGTTTTTTTTTGGTTACTGCTGTTTATTGGAGTAGTTTCACCAGGTTTGAGTCAGTTATCATAGCTGAAGGCTAATAGTGATAGGAAGAAGTGACTTGATGGAAGTCAGCCAGACTTCGTCATTTCTGATGCTAACTCCTAACTTGTTTCCAGAGGAGTTCCAAACATTTCCCTGAAGGGGAGAGAGTGTTTCCCAAAAGTGTACCTGAGACCTCTTATGGCAGTACTCGGGAAAAATTTGGGTTCTTATGCACTGGGATGTTTTGGGGTAGCGTGTTCCAAGGTTGAGCAGTGGAGTGTTCAGTGCACGTGTAAGATAACATTTACAGATGTAAATCTTGTCACTGGTTTTATATGATGTTTTCACATCTCATACTATTCCAGGAGTCTCAGGATAGACTGTCCATAGAACAATTACTGTCCATAGAACATTGCTGAAGGTTTTGAGAAGCATATGAATGTTAAATTTTGTCCTTTAATGACGTGCTCTGGCATTTACCTTTTTCCACGTTGTTAGCAGTGGGGATGTGAATGCTAACAGCTTGTGGTAGGCTGGTCAGCTGTGTTGCCTTGGTTTGGAACTGTCACTTTCACTGTGCTGCGTGTCGAAGTTCTGCACAGGAGCAAAATCTGCACTGGTCTGCAGATTTAAGCAGATGTGTGAACCTGCCATGAGAAAGAAACAGGAGTTTATGCAGGACTCACTGAGGAGATAAGGAGCTTAAAAGAATTTGAAATTTAGTAGGTACCTTTTCTGTTTTTTCTGCGTAACTCAAGACCACAGAACTTAATCCATTTGTTTCTGTACTGAGTCCACTGTCTTGTGTTTAATTAAAGATTGCTTTCAAGAAAGGCATCCAGTCTTGATCTGAAGACATCAAGAGGTGTCAGAACCATGGCTTTGCTAGGGAGGTGGTTTAAACTTTTTTAACGATCTTCAGCATTAGTAGTTCTGTTAACCTGCCCAACCAACAGTTACACAATATCCCACTCTCCAGACCATACCTTTGTAACATTAAGCCTGAATTCATGTTAGCATTTTTTTGTATGTTGAACAAACATTTAGTTGTTTTGCTTGACTACTGCTATGCTCTCATAAACCCAACTGTTCATTCAGTGCTGGTCTGGTAAATCTTCTAACTTTCTCTCTGCAGCTTCAGAGCATTAATTTCAATATTAAAACTTCTTTTAATGTGGTATATCTATACAGAGCTCTAAGTGTGAGCAGTTGTTGCTTGTGATGAAGATATAGTTGAAGGAATGCATCCTGAAATTGTCTGCTAGTTTGAAATGAGTAGGCTTCAGAAAGTGTGGAGTTCAGAGAAATTTCCGTTGCTTGGAATAAACTTCTAAACTTTTACAGTTTTGGTGGGTTTAGCTTACAAAGGTGCATCTCTGAAAATAGTTGTCTAGGAGTGGGGCACCCTGTAATTATTTTCTGTTTCCTTCTCCAGCACACAGTTGCAAGGATCCTTTGCATGGATGAAGATAGTTGTCTGTGCTTTACTTTGGAATGTGTGTGTGCTTGTTTAACTGCAAGCTTAAACGTAAAGCAGGATTTTCTCACATATGTACCCAGTGTTTGTGGTGAAGTGGGCTGTATGTGTGATGTTCAGAGATCTGAGAGCGAATTTCTGTCTCCAGCATGATAGTTTATTTCAATTGTATTGGACCAGTAAGTTTTGTGATGTGTCAAAGTGAATTTTTGTATTTTTGAATAAAGCTACATTTAATGGAATCTGCAGTGAGGAAAGGAGTGCATTCTCATCAGGTCTTGTTAAATAGTTAGCAATGAAAGGATATAATTGCAAAAAAATGCTTTAAGTTTTGCAGGATTTTAGTATGTCAGGAGAGCCTTTTTTGCACCCTTGCTTGAAAGGGTCAGCACATTCAGTTTACCAGCAGGTTAAAAGGAAAAGGTGTGTGCTAGAGGTTTGTTTCTATCTTCTTCATATTTTGCTGCTTGGAGATAGCACCAGGTTTGGGAGCAGCTGAGCATTATAAGTCTCCTACATTCAGGAAGGACTGAGTTTAACTGACTTTTCAGTCTTGATTCTTTTAGGTTAAAAGTAGAGGAGAAGAAATGGGAGTCCTACAAGCAGATTCAGTAGTATGCAGAATAGCATGTAAGCTTTGGCATCACTTTAAATATTGGCAGAACTATTGCGTATCTGTGTATGTGCAAGGCATGTGATACATATGTCTGGTATTTCTTTACATGCTTTTCCAAATCAGGTTGGGGGATCCTTTGTTTCCAGGTCGGTTTGGTAAATGCCTGGAATGACACTACAAAGTTTACATGCTCAATATTGTTTTGTAACAGTGAAGACGGGAAAAACTTGGTTCGACAAATTTGAATGTATAAAGTATTTCCCCAAAAGTAGTTCTATGGGCCACAGTTTTGTTCCCTGAAACTGCCTATGTAGAAATAGGGAAAATAGTGGAATTACTGAAAGAAGAAATAAGTAAGTGAGGAATTTTACATGGAAGAGAAAATCTCCCACTAATGCCTTGTACTAAAACAAAGACAGTGTACTGAATTAGAAAAAATTGTGATCAAGGGTATTTTTATGCAATGTTTTAACGCAGCCATATAAATAATATATGGAGTAAGTTACTATTGACAACAGGAAGATCTCTCAAGCATTAGATGCATGACTAGGAAGAATATTTGTGGTTATGTTATATACAGCCGTGGAGGGAGGATATAAGCCTTTGTTCTTCAGGGCACAAGCAAACTACTTGGCAGAATTATTTGTTTATTTTTGTGAATCATCTAGTAGTGAATGAGGTAAACTATTGATCTGGTCTGTCATGACAGTTCCTGTATTATAAAATACTTTTGTCTTTGCCTCTAATTTATTGTGTAATACTTAGGAATACCATTTTGTATAATTAATCTAATGAAGTAAGAAACAGTTTTGCCATAAGATTATTCATCCTATTGCAAACATATTAAAAAACCAAAATAACAAATCTGATGCTCTCCCTTGATAAGGTATCTTTTTACAATAATTTGTTTTCTTTCCATTACTTACAGAGTCCTGAAGCAAATTAGTCTCTTTCACTCAGAGGATATTTGTATATTTGAATGTTGTTGATAATTCAAACAGGTTTATTAATGCGAAGCCTGACAGATTCAGTATGTATGTACTGAAATGTCTGTGGTGGTGTTTCTGCGATCTGGAGTAATACACCAAAACTTTTTCCTTCCAGCTTTGCTTTTGCTACATTGGCAAAAATCCTTCTTGTATTCTCCACGTTTTATTAACTGCAGCCTCTCCTCCCCAACTGAGTCCTTTAAATGAGCTTGCCTGATTTGAAGTTGTTATTATCAATGTTTCATCTGTTTTCAGTCTTTTGCTTCCCTATGGATGGCCTGTTGTGATTTCGAGCTAGATTCCTCATTTTCCTTTCATATCTTCTGAAAAAACCTCATTACTTGGCTACCATTTCACTAAATCCTTCTCATTTGCAGACATGGCATCATCTGAGTCTCTGGCCTCTTTGAGTCCTGTTTATTCTTCATAAACAGTCACGTCTGTTCATTCCCCTCCATTATTTCTTTATGCTTGACTGTATCTGGGCTACAACTGGTATAGAGAGAACAATCCTATAGTAATCCTCTCTTTTTTTTCTCTGTGTGTCCCCCCCCCAAATATTTCTTGCTTGTAAAATTTTTTCCCCTCTTGTGGCTCTCTCTCTGGGTACATCAGTTTAAGTTTTTCCCTGTAAGACCTCAGGCTACATGAGAGTAAATGTCATTTAGCTTTCTCGCTTTTTCTCCCCATGTTCCGTACAGTTTTGTCTCTAGTTTTGCTCATTTCTTTGTGGGATCTTACCCGTGACTTTTTTACTTACCCACTTTCTTGAAAGCTTTTTTCATGCAGCAAGCGTGAAATCAACATCTGTTATAAATTACTTTTATTTTATCCAAGTTTAAAGTTGCAGAGTTTTGCTCCGGCCAGCTTATTCAAGCCACTGATGCTTATTTATAACAGAGTACAAGATTGGCTTTGTGTTCTGTGTAGGGCTTTGGGACTTTGCATAAGTGCTGGAGATGCGTGTGTTATTACATTGTCATGGATGTCTGTCCTGGTACCCTAACACTTTATCTTTCTGTGAACTTACATAGACTGGAAAAAAATGAGGAATGTGCCATGGCAAAGTTGTCTCTTGCTTCACAGAAGCCTTGTTATAACTGTCTGCTCTTATGGTCTTGAAAATGCACTCTGTGGAAAAGCATCTTCCTTTTGACAAAATAACTTTGTCTGTCTGCATGTACAAAAAAAAGATCTAGAAGGGTTTCTGGCATCTCTGCAGGCCTCCTGCTTGACTAGGGTCAACTTGATGTTTCATCTGAGGAAGAGAATGATTCTGAGGGGCTGGAGATTAATTTGAATTACCTTTATTTTCAGGATCATCAGGATGGTGGATAAGAACATTTACATTGTACAAGGTGAAATCAACGCGGTGGTAGGAGCCATAAAGCGTAATGCCCGATGGAGCACTCACACACATCTGGTAAGTTACCTTGAATTGTTGATACCTGTTGACACAATGGCAGAAACCATCTGGTTTTAGAAAAGTACTTCGCTTTTTTTTTTAGTGCTTGTTATAGTACTTTTGTAAGTAAGGTTGGAGTAACTTTCTACATTGTTTCATGCTGAGCAGTTTTGGCTTCTTGTGTGCCAGCAATTGTAAGAGGTACAGAGCTGGAAATTTCCTACCTATATACCCTGTAAACAAACAAAACCCCCCATATTGTATTCCACATGGGAATCATCTCATTTAGACTTTTATCACCCGGTGTGTAAGGGATTTTGAATATACAGTGGTTTTTTTTTTAGCACAATGTTTTTATACATCTTTTGTGCCCTCTTACAGAAGACAGTCTTTATCATAAAAGCCATCAAATAAAACTTGGAGAAGTCATTATATATAGGGTATTTTCAAATTTGTCATATGTCATAGTGTCTTTTTTTTTTAGCTCTGTTTTCTGACTGAAACCTGTTAATAGTTTCAGACCTGTTTTGTTAAAAGCCATTAGTAGAACGTTCCCAAGTCTAATGATGCATTGGTCAGTTTATGGCTTCCACAGTGCACGTGGCGTACTGTATCTGTGGTGCACTTCAGAATGTCACATGAATAGCAGATGGCTGTCATCCAGCACAAATGGTTTCAGCTTGTCAAAGGGCAGGGCCCTTTTTCCTTCAAACAGGCATTTCTTCATTAGAGCTCACTGCCACCCAGCAGGAGGTGTGGCTGCGGTTGAACACAGCTTGGAGAAACTGCTGCTTCTCCTTATTTTAATATTGTAAAGATAGACTAAAGCTGAAGAATGCAGCTACTCATTTTGCAGTGTGATTCTTTCTTCAAGTTATTTTAATGGCGTCAAATGTCATTGTATTTCTGTTCCCATTACAATCTGCATAGATTAACATTATAGCAAATCCAGATGAGCCATTTCAATATGGTAAGAGGTAGATTTGCTCTGAAATTTATTGAACAGCGGAAGGCTAATCAGAAATACTTCTAAGGACAATAAAACCAAACCGAAATGCTCAGTCTTGAACCTGTGCTTTGACATTTAAGCTGTATGACATTGGGGAGCACTAGCAGGAAAATAAAAATAGTTCTCTTGATCTTGCTGGAGTAAATGCACTGTCAGTGATAAACTCGACCCATGGTACTTCTGTGAATATGAAGGTGAGGTCTTTACAGACCCATTATTAAGATTTGCCTTCAGGAATATGTTTGCCTTTTTAATGACTTCCTTCCTATATATAACCTATAGGATGAAGAAAGGGATCCCCTGCTGCATAGCTTTAGCCTCTTAAAAGAAGTGCTGAATAACATAACAGGTAAGCTTATACAGAAATCAGCAGGTATGTGTACCTGCTAGGGTATATGTAAATAAATGTACAGGTGTACTTGTTTGTCTTATTTACTATCCAGAGGTCATAAATTGAATAACAAGAAAAGAGCAAATATGTAATATACTTTTAGACAAATAATACCAACATAAACTAGTACATAAATACCACTGCTGCCACTATCTGGAGATACATATATGTGTGTGAATGTGTATATATTTGTGTGTGCGTGTATACACACATATATTTTTATCTATAAATATACATGTTTTGTTAATACACTGAAGCCTCTAGTAATATATGAAATCTGATGTATGATTATGCATAATCTTTCTGTGTTTTGTTTATGCTTTCTGATCTGTGAATGATGGGAAAAATCTGCTTAGAAAGTAGCCTCCTGTTATCTGTTTTCTCGTTGCATTCTTTGGTTTGTTGGCTTTCATCATCTATTATCAGTAATAAGTGAAGGTTCTCCTCACATTCTTTGGTTTGTTGGTTTTCATCATCTGTTATCAGTAATAAGTGAAGCGCAGACTTCACTCTCTTTTGGGTCTCTTGAATCTTGAAGTGAAAAGCTTACTTTGACCAGTTACACTGAAAGAAACTGGAAATCTCAATTGATTACAGTAGTAGAACACAAGGCTGTGATGTGTATTCTGACCAGTTGTTTTTATCCCAATCTGCCTTTTTTCCCTTTCCTACCACATTTTCTCTTTTTATAGTTTCAGGAGTGATTGTTTAAGTGCAGCCTAAGTATATGTTGAAAGTCTGCAAGTGAGGCTAATCCTGAGCTGCACGTGGCATTCTGCTGGTTCTTCCTAGGATTTGTATTACTGATTGTAATATTTGAAAGCAAGCTTTATTTCTGGTCCCTCTATTATAGAGAGTGTTCAGAACTGCACTTAACCTAAGTTTGAGATGGACTTTTTGCATTTCTAATTGCAAAGCACGCCCATTCTTGTGTCAGTGCTGAGCCTGGAATCCCACAAAAAGTACATTCCCTACAAGTACAGTAGCGCTGCTTCCAGGGGCTGACGAGGTGCTGAGGACATGTGCCAGTTCTAAGCCTGTATGCCTTCCTATTTTGTGGCTGCCTATAAGTGTAAATGCTTTACTTTTCTTTGCCAGGTGAACTTCCCTGGGTTGTGAGCGGGACTCTTCTGTCAGGTCATGACATCTTAGGGAACTCCTGCACAGCTTGCGTATTTTTGTTGTGGATGTTACACTTGTACCCAGAGTACATCACAGTCTGTGGGTTTTTTTGTAAGCTCACTCATCTTCTGTAGGATATGCATACAGTCACCAAAAGTGTTTTGGGAGGAAATTTTCCTTCTTTCCCTTCTACAGGATAAAATTTTCTTTAAAATGAAACTCCTGAAGTTCTTTGCCATTATTACAAATACCTCTGCTCATTAACAAGAGCAGGGAATGCCAGGATACTCAAATAAATGCGATATGGGTAAATGTCAGGGACTGGCCATTTATTTAGAGTAGCTAGGTACAACATGCTGTTGACTTGTTGCGGAAAAATGCAAGCTGACTATCTGCTTGTGTTAGAGAAAGCAAAGTTTAATATACTGAGATATTCCGAGACTCCCTGTGAGTAGTAGTCATCATGTAAGTGTGGTTCATGCTGAGATAATAATTGCTCATATACGGTGATGATAGTATGTTGGTTTGACTACGTGGGGTTCTTTTAAATAGGTAAATTCGGCTTCAATGACTGCTATTTCCAGACTAGTGTCTTGAGGTAGGACATCATTGCTATGCTCCGTTTTCTTCAGGTTTAGACATGGAGTGGTTCCCAAGCAATACTTTGAACAATACAGAGTCTTCTGCCTCATCTTCCAGGCAATGAGAAGTCTAAGCTTAGTTTTTTTTTGTGGGTTGTTTTTTGGTTGGTTTTTTGTTTGTGGTTTTTTTTTTCCCCTAGACCTTCCTTTCATGTCTCTTTCATTAGCTCACAGAAACCCATTGCTTTTATATTTAAATTTATTCAAGCTGTAATCTTTGACATTTGAGTTAGCTTTTAGTACAATTTTGCATTTATAGTAATATATATTATGTATTTTCTCAATCCCCCAAGAACCCATTTTAATCTGTTCCGGATGCAAATTTCAGGCTGCCTTGTCCCATCTCCCCTCTTGCTCTCGCCCTCCCTCCCCCTCCCCCATGGAGCATGTTTGATCAGGTGTGGCAGGAATATCCACTGTCAAGCTGCGCCCTTTATATTAGTCAATATTATCCTTCCTTCCCTCCCACTCCCTTCATTCTCCTCTGGGCTTTACCAGTTGATTTATAATTTTGGAATTCTCATCGGAGTCTGTAATACAGTTTGTTCATTATTTAACCAAAACCTGTTTAATGAGCAAAGAGAGGCAATGTAAATGTTAGGCATGTTGCAGTGGAGTACCTTTTGTTCTCCTCTGAGCTAGTGGGTATTAACTCTGTCATGACTGTGATGCTGAAATACCCTGGTCAAGGGTATAAACATGCATGGTGTGCCTCCAGCAGCTAAAGATTCCTGTTTCAAAGTATTGTTCCTCAGGAGTAACTAAATTACATAGTGTATTTTATTTGATTACCAAAATAGTAAAAGCTTGCCCGCAACTAAGTAGCGGTGTCCTATTCCATTGTAATGTCTAAATGGGCTCTTGAAGGAAGCATCTAGAGAAGATGCTGTGGCTCAGCACAAACAATCCCATGATTATGGTAAGAGGAACCTCACTTCTACAGTTCAGAATATCTAGCTAGGGGCCTTGGACCTGAATTATGTGGAATGATGTTGCTCTTTAAAATTCTGACAGAGAAGCTTAATTTCTTTGGCAATTTTATGTAGGTTTATAAAAAACAGTTAAATAACTTGAAAATGAACAGCATGTCTGCTCTGACTCACTATCATTTGGTTTATTGTATGCCATTTTTACACTTTTATGGTCTGCATATATTTTAGTTGTTATTGATAGTAGTTGCCTGAAAAACAGAAAGGAAAAATAGAGGTTCTGTCTTGGGTGATGCATAATTTTCTCCAAGATAAATTAAATAGCTGAATGCTTGCTGTATTAAGATAAGCATTGTAAGCTTAAGTTTGATGTAGTGTCTCTTATTTCCAGTGCTTAAAAAAAGCAAAAATCAGTGTCCTGAGTTATGACCATATGTAAGTAGTGACTACCAAGCTTTGTCCATGCATGCAAAATTGAAATACAACTACATCTTCAAAAGTTATTTTAAAACTGATGGAAGCCTCAGATCTAGGGTCACTGTCAATACAACTTCCATTTGACTGCTTTTTAAAGTAAGCTGAGTATCTAGAAAATGTGTCTGGATGTTGAAATATTTGTTCATCAGTTTTGTTATGGATTAGGTCAACAAAAGAAAGCTTCTTTTTGACATCCAGTGATAACTAAGCATCTTCTCATTCATGAGTGTTTCCAACTTAGGGTGCTCTTGAGCTCAGTAGCAAGGGGTTTTATAACCACAAATGGCTGGAATTACGAATTCATTACAAGCCTACTTTTCCATGATCTGATAAGGATTAGGCTTCCTTGAATCTTGCTGTGGCTGTTGAAGTCTTCAGACCATTCCAATATGAGGTAGAAGTAAGAGCAGGTACTTCTGCAGTTGTGCTCCTCATTGCAGAATTTGTACTTTGCTCTGACTGTGGGGGGATAAGTCAAATCACCAGGATTTTGTGACTGAAGTACTGCTTACTGTGTAGGTGTGTAGGATGGCTTTAGGACAGAAAATGACTGAATACAACTGCCTTGTACAAGTCAGAACTGCAGTGGGAGAAGCAGGTGTTTGTGGAAAGTGTGTGCATCGAGAGTCTATTTAAATAAGGTTTAAACTAGGTAAACACACCTGTGAAGAGGTACTTGTGTATATTTTAGGTCCATGAGTGCCAGACTGGAAGGTTTGAGTCCTTTTATCCTCTGGTGGTTCAGAGTTAGTGCATTTAAACAGAAGCTGCAAAGTAAGCTGTTAGAAGCACTCTGATTTCATGCACATTCATGACATTTTAAATGAATGCTTGTACAGTGGGTTCAGAAGAATCTTTTCATGGCTTATTTCAGACAAGAAGCTGCTGCAAATCTCCATCTTTAGAGGGTTGGCTGGGGCATTAAGAGCTGGCTAAAGGTCAAATGACTGTAACTGTAAGAGAACCTTTGCCCAGTGTACTGACTTAATATACATGTTACTGTAGCCATCAGTTTTCTGGTATGTAGATTTGATTGCACACTCATTTTCTCATGTCTGAGCTCTGCAAACTCAGTTTTCAGGGAAAATCTGACGTTTGTATAAAATGATTTCGGAGTTTTATCTTGATTTGGGATTAATGTCTGAACTTTCTGAAAGATCTAGTTTTAAGAAGTGGTAAATCGGTAGTAAATATAAATGTGTGGCCTGTTCTCAATGCTATTGCAGTGCTATTGAATAGAATCTGAGTAATTACAATTTAAGAAATGAGAAAAAATAATGGTTTTTTTAAAGAAGTGTAAGAATTGGATTATATGGATGTGACATGTATAGTGCTGCAATGCTTGTTACTTTGCAGATAAGAGCAATGCCGTGGTTTATTTATTATTTATATCTTGAGTTTCTGCAGGAAGTGCCTGGACTTACTAGCAAATAACAAATCCTGATGAACTGTAAGCTGTGATACTTCTCCCTTTGTTTGCATTGAAGGGTTGCAGTGTTATCTAGAGCAGACATTAAAAAAAAAATCACCTAAGCTTTTTTATGTTGCATATCAGCTTCATATAAAAGATCTCGAAGACTTACTGGTCTCCTAGACTATATCTGTTCCTGTGATAACTTAAAAAAAAATTTTTTTTAAAACTTTTTTTTTTCTTAAATAACAGGTATCCATACATGTTGACTTGGTATTTTGGAAGACCAAGCAACTCAGGCTGACATTTAGCTTTTGTTGTACACTCTATAAAATTTTTAAGAAGAATGGAAAGGGTGTAAGAAAGGTTAGGAAATTG